TGAAACATCAACTTTCCTGCTCCCCCGATGCTGCCTGGCCTGCTGTGCTCCTCCAGTTCCACACTGTTGTCTCTATTTATAACCAAGTGTGATATCACTGGTTTCACAATAAATCCAAAAGACTAACCAAGGCATTTGAGCCAAACGTGGTACACCGCTCCTGTATACAGTAACCCAAAGGTGAACCGTATCATTTTTGACTAAGTTGAAGATGGACCTGGAATTTTCAAAAAGATCCGTTAACATTTAGAGATTGTGCAAATTTACCTTTTCTTTTCAAGAGTTAATGATTGATTGATACTTGACTGTCAGCTCTGTAATAGGACAATCTGTTCCAAAATGTGAACAAAGTTTTCAGAGCAGGTTGGTGGTTGTAGATTAACCTAAATTGAATTGAATGAGCTTTATTGGCACGAGTTGTGAAAACTTTTACAAATTGCCACTTAATGGCGCTATCTTAAGTACCTTGGTAGAGATTCTTAAATACAAACTGTTAGGGAAAAATATTGGGAAAATAAAGAAATAAAATGTTCAGCGATAGCTTAGAAAAGTGGAACAATAAGAGTTCAGAATAACAGTCCTTCCAACCCAGATTGCGCTCTGCTTCACTTGAAGGCCAAAGGTATGGGAATCGGGTCCATGCTGAGGCCGGAAGTTCACGTCCACGTGATCCCGTTGATATGGAAGCGTCAACCAGATGGGGAAGAAACCTTAAGGAAGGGTGCTGTAAAGCTCTACTGCGTACCCTCTTCATCTGCCCTTGTTTCAGGATTGGAAATGCTTTGGGCACAGAAGCGACAATTTAGTGGCCTAAATCTATTTCTTACTTAATTTATTTCATTGTGCTTTATTTCAGCAGGGGAAATACAGTCCATTATAATGATATGGGCTCCTGACTAATTTCACAGCCATGTCCACCCACCTGACTAGAGGCAAGATAATAGATTAGGACACCAATAAGCAACCACTCAGTATCATAGAATCCCTACAGTGTGGAAGCAGGCCATTCAGCCCATCAAATCCATACAAACCCTATGAAGAGCATCCCACCTAGACCCATTCCTCTAACCTATCCCTGTAATCCTGCGTTTCCAATGGCTAATCCATCTATCCTGCACATCCCTGGATACTCTGGGCAATTTAGCATAGCCAATCCACCTAACCTGCACACTGTGGGAGGAAACTGGAGCAGCCAGAGGAAATCCACATAGACATGGGGAGAATGTGCAGACTGCACACAGACACTCGCCTGAGACTGGAATCGAACTGGTGCTGTGAGGTAGCAGTGCTAACCACTGATGTGCCCCATGTTTACACAGTGTTTACAATATTCTATAAGATAAAACATTTTAATGAAACTAAGACAACCCAATAATGTCAAGTCCTAAACAGATGGCTGGAAATTTTATACTCCATGGGTTGCTTGTCAGCTGGTTCAACATTTGGTCCTTGCTGTTGCCTTGACTTAGTGACAGCATTTAAAGTATTGGCAAAGATCTGTAGCTCGGGTTGTGGATGAGGTTGTTGATGTGCTTGCTGAGCTAGCTTGATTTTGCTCAGACGTCTGAACAAAAACAAGCCAGCTTGACGAGCAAGTCAACAACCTTAGTAACAGCATTCTCAACTCTAAATCAGAAAGTTTGGATTTCTAATCCAGAAATATAAGTAATGTAATATAGCCTGATACTTCAGTGCAGTAGAACCAATGCCACCACTTTCTCAAGCCCAGTTACCACTGGCCTACTAATAAACACAATGGTGAAGGCAAACAGGTTTGTGCTCATATGTGCTGCCTTATTGGAATGGCTGAGTATTTCAAGCATTTTCTGTTGGACAGTTCTTGTATCTTCAGTACTCTACTTTCTTGTTCGCAGGTTGTTTCATAAATAGGGTCCTCTTGTGGTGCAGCAGTAGTGACCCTGAACAGCTGAACATGTTGATTCGAAAAAAAGGAACACTGTAAAACAAATCAGGACACCAAATCGTATGAAAAGGTACTAGATCAGAAGAGGAAAAAGTTTGGCTAAAGAGTGATATAAAAGTGAGATTGAGAGGCAAAGATGGGTAGGATGGGCATTCTGGTGCTTAGAGCCAAGGCAACTGAAGGTCTGACCATGAAATATAGAACAACTAAAGTTGAAGATTCACACAGCCCAGAATTAGAGGTATGTATGTATTTCAGAAGAACTTTTTCATTCGTAGGATATGGGTTTCACTGGCCAGGCTAGCAATTTATTGCCCATGCCTAACGGCCAGAGGGCAGTTAAATGTCAACCACGTTGCTGTGGGTCTGGAGTCACATGTCGGATAGGCCAGGTAAAAGGAGCAGTTTCCTTCCCTATAGGACATTAGCAAACCAGATGGGATTTTTCCTAACAATTTCAAAATTCACGACACCAGGTTATTGTCCAACAAGTTTATTTGAAAACACAAACTTTCAGAGTCTCACTCCTTCTTCAGGTGTCAGTGAGAGAGGTGTCATGAGACACAGAAAAAGATCAGAGGGTCATAGATCTGATGTGAATGTGTTGAACGAATCTAAGATGGCTGTTAAATCTTTAATCAGTTAGAAAGGATTAATATGCAAATTCCAGATTTTCTTTCAAGTCACTGACCCAAGGTAACAAGTTTTTATGTTTCTTCAGTATACCAGAGATGATATCCCAGGTCAGACAACACATTTTAGATGTGAGGCTTTGCATAGAATCTAGCTGTACATTAACTTTGAGTCAGACTGGTTTTATTTCCAAAGTAGAAATTTGTAAAATACCACACTGTCTACAAATTGTGTGCTTTTTGAACAAAATCAAAAGTATCTGCAATTACAAATCTCATAAATGCACATTCACCTCAAAGATTTGTGTGTGTGTGTGTGTGTGTGTGCATGAGGGAGATAGTGTGTGTATAAGAGAGGGTCTATGTGACTATGTGTGCATGTGAGAGTTTATAGTGTGCATGTGTGAGAGTGTATAGTGTGGTCAGGTCACTTGTGGTGCGACATGAACCCAAGATCCTGGTTGAGGCTGCCCTCATGGGTAACAAACTTGCATATTAGCCTCTGCTTGGCGATTTTGCATTGTTGTATGTCCTGGAGTGATTTTTGACCATGTCCATCCCAGTCCAAAATCGGAACCTCCACATCATCCCTAACAATTGGCAGTGGTTTCATGGTCACCATTAGACTTCTAATTCCAGATATTTATTGAACTCAGATTCCACCATCTGCCATGGCAGGGTTCCAATCCAGATCCCCAGAACCAGACCAGTATTTTTGGATTGATAGTCGGGTGATACCACTAGGCATCACATCCTCCCCCCCCCCCCCCCCCCCTGTTTGAGGTGCTCCTATTATCCTGACTAATATTTACTTTATTCCTCAGTCAACATTTGTTACCTCATTGCTATGTTTGATGCCATATCCTATGCAATTTTGTTGCTACCATTACAGTATAACAGTGACTACATTTAACTTCATTACAGTAATTCATTACGTGTGAATTACTTTGAAACATCTCAAAGCTCTAAAAGGTGCTATGTAGATGAAAGTTCTTTATGCCACTGTCATTGCAGACACAAGCCACATAGATAATAACGAGGACAACACTGGAATTACATAGAACAGTACTGCACAGGAACAAGCCCTTTGAACCTCCATGTCTGCACCAACCACGATGCCATTCTAAACTAATCCCACCTGCATGAATATGGTCTGTATCCCTCAATTCCCTGCCTGTTCATGTATCTGTCTAAATGCTTCTTAAATATTGCTATTGTATCTGCTTCTACCACTTCCCATGGCGGCGCATTCAAGCACCTACCACCCTCTGTGTAAAAATCTTACCTCGTCTTCTTTAAATTTTACCCCTCTTGCCTATGCCCCTAGTATTTGAATTTTCACCCTGGGAAAAGGCTCCAGCTTTCCAACCTATTCATGCCTCTCATAATTTTATGTACTTCTATCAGATCACTCATTAGCCACTGATGCCCTATCGAAAACAATCCAACCCTTCCTTAGAGCTAAAATACTCCAATCTAGGCAACATCCTGGTAAACCTCTTTTGCACCTTATCCAGACCCTCCACATCCATTCTATAGTGTGGCATCCAGAACTGCAGACAACGAGGTTGCAGGCTTGCTCGCTGAGCTGGTGTGTCTCCGGTGCAGCGTTGGTGTTCTGTCCCGCTTGTTATTTATATGCCTCAATTTTTTTGGGGTGGTTGGTACTACTTTCGGTTCTGTTTTTCAGTTGTTTGTATATTGGGTCCAGTTCAATTTGTTTGATGGAGTTCCAGTTTGAATGCCAGACCTTCAGGAATTCCCTGGCATGTCTGTATTTGGCTTGTGCCATTATGGATGTGTTGTCCCAGTCAGATTCGTGTCCTTCTTTGTCCATGTGTATTGAGACCCGTGAGAATAGGTAATGTCTGTTGGTGGCTAGTTGGTATTCGTGTATGCTTATTTCCAGTTTGGTCTATGCAATGTTTCTCACAGTCCATGCATGGCATTTTGTATATTACATTCGTTTTATTGGTTGTGGGTATGGGATTCTTTACTTTTGTCAGTAGCTGTCACAGGGTGGTTGTTGGTTTGTGGGCTACTCTGATACCTAGGGGTCTGAGCAGTCTTGTGGTCATCTCTGATATGTCCCTGATATACAGTAGGGTGATTAGAGAGTCTGGCCGTGTTGTGTCGTCTTGTTGTGGTCTGTCATGGAGGTAACAGCGGATTGTGCTTTTTGGGTATCCATTCTTTTTTAAAAACTCCTGTTCTGATTTGCGCAGTTCCGGGTCGCTGCAGTATGTTGTGGCTCATTTAAATATACTCCAGCAACCCAGAATTGTGGAGAGCAGAACAGATTTTCAGAATCTGCAGTTCTTTACTTTAGATCTGAAATATTAACTTGGTTTCTCTCTTCTCAGAAACTGCCAGATCTGCTAGGTGTTTGTAGCTTTTTTTATATTTCAGATTTCCAGCATCCGCAATATTTAGCTTTTTTACATAAATACAAGTTGTTGTTTAAGTTTCTTTGGACAGATTATTAATTATGACCATCGTGGAGATGGGGAAGATGGCTGTTTGTCTGGCAGAATTTTTTTTCACTTTTCAATTGGTGGGTTATTTCACGAACGTGTTGAGTGACCAATGGCAGGAAATTAGGCTGCAACAGTTGAAGGCAGGAGACCATGTGATGAAATCTTCAGCAATACTTTGAACTAAAGTCCCAACTCTAATCCTAACTGACCTAGAACAATTTGATGAAATACTTTAACATATGCCAATGCCTAATAGTATAATACTTACTGTTCTCTATCTTCTTTTATCTTTTACCAACCATAAAGTACCACAGTAACAAAACCAAAAAATGTTGGAGATAACACTTAAATTCCATGAACAAAACAAAGTTACCCATTCCCACAATGAAACAGGAAATCATGACCTGCTAGGGTTGTGTGGATTCTACACAACTTCATTTTAACCTTTAGTACAGCTGCTGCCCTGCTGACAGACCAACTACGAGAAAAAAATAAAGGTAGTATGGAATAATAAATGTCAGACAACTTTTGAAAGGCGGAATGTTAATAGGTGAGCCTGTGGTTGTAGCTCTGAACTTCAACCAAGCCTTTAAAGTATCTATTGATACGAGTGACATCACGTAGGAGCTATCCTCCTGAAGGAGGACAAATCCAAGACAGTGAGACAAGTTGGGTATTTTGCGAAAATGTTAAACAAGCATCAGAAACATGATTTCACAGTGGAAAAGAAAGCCCTTGGTTTAATGCTGTCTTTCAAATACTTTGAGATATATAACTAAAATGGGTACAGAGACCCCAAAGTCTCTACAAATCACAACCCATTAACTATTTGTCAAAATGTTTAAGACCCTGAATGATTGCCAGGAAATTAAATATAATTTTAGATATCCTATCTTGAACTGAAAAAGACTTGGTTAGAAATAAAAAGTTACATTAGCCAAGGGTGGGAGATTGAATGGGTGTGCGTGTGTTGTTTATATTTCACCGTTTTCCTCTTGTAATTAAATGAGATTGCATTTAGTTTACTTTGCCCAGTGGGAGAAGTGTCATGACAACATTTTAATTGCAAATTACTTATGGACATTTCCAACTTTTAAGGCAGCACATCTTTTTGTTGAAAAGAAGCAGCTAATAAATTCACTCTAACTTGAGAAAGCTTAGTTGCATTTGGTTTCTTTTAAAACATAAATGTATTTTGGCTGGGAAAAGGTATCCACCTGTTGCAAACAAACAAGGGAGGGGAGATTTAAGTAAAGAAGGGAAGCCAGTTCATCCCTCTTCATCCAAGTATATAAACATTTGGGGTTATCCCATGATAACAGATTGGAGGTCTTGTCTGGGTAACCAGTTTTAACAAACTGTCTGTGAGTCAAAGAACAAAGAAAATTACACCACAGAAACAGGCCCTTCGGCCCTCTAAGCCTGTGCCAATCCAGATCCTCTATCTAAACCTGTCGCCTATTTTCCAAGGACCTGTATCCCTCTGCTCCCTGCCCATTCATGTATCTGTCTAGATACATCTTAAATGACGCTATCGTGCCCGCCTCTATCACCTCCACTAGCAACGCGTTCCAGGCACCCACCATCCTCTGCGTAAAGAACTTTCCACGCATATCTCCCTTAAACTTTTCCCCTCTCACCTTGAAATTGTGACCCCTAGTAATTGAGTCCCCCACTCTGGGGGAAAAAGCTTTTTGCTATCCACCCTGTCTATACCTCTCATGATTTTGTAGACCTCAATCAGGTCCCCCCTCAACCTCCATCTTTCTAATGTAAATAATCCTAATCTACTCAACCTCTCTTCATAGCCAGAGTCCACCCTAAGTGCAGACATATATCTCTACATCAGTCTTTAAGGATTCCTATGTAGAAGAACAAAAGTGACACCCTGCATCTGAGTGTACTCCTAAAACAAGGCGGTGATTCTCATTGTTCATGACACTACGTTTGTTAAAATTCTTCAAGAGCATATTTCATCAATAAAGATCAGCTCATCAAGTAATCTTCCTGCCTTTTTAGTAATCTCTACTTGTCTTCCAGGCAGCATCCACTGAGGTGGTCTGTTGGAGAGAAGACTGCAGAACCTAATACTCCCAAAAGATGAACAAGCCATGGCAGTTCTCTGGAGCTTTTGCAAATATTTGTGTTATCCTCCTGTAATGTTTACGTACCTTCTGTATGCTGGGGGTTTTTTCACTGACGTGGTTTGCCACATTGTTGCTCGTGCGAAGGTCAGTATTTATTGTTTAACACCCGTGAACTGAATGATTTGAGATTGAATGATAACAGACCCAACAATTGATTTTTTTTAAAAATCCATGGATGCTGGAAATCTGAAATAAAAACAGAAACGTTTGGAGAAATTCAGCAGGTCTGTGGAGATCCATGGAGAGAAAGCAGAGTTAATGTTTTGAGTCCAGTGACTTGTCTTTGGTACACTTTTTTTGTCTATTTAAGTTAAATGGATGTCTTAGAATGAAAGCTTATATTTTTGAGTCACTCTAAATGTAATTTTACCTTGATTAAAAAATAGCAATTTCAGAAACAGGGAAAAGTCACTAAAAATAGAATTTTGCAGTTAACATTTCAAGTAAACAGCATACAAAACCTGTGCATTTTTAACAGCTCTTTTATCATGGAGCTTCCTTTGATCCGATTCTTCAAAGGATGCACAGGGAAAACCAAGTTTGCAGGATTTTCAATCTGGTGTCAGGTAATCGGCAGTATTTCAGGGAGCTCATTCCATAATACATCAGTTTTAAATGGTTGTGAGTGACTGGTAATCTCTTGGAACAAGGATGATACTTGCTCTCATGTCAAGAACCTACTTTGCAGATCCAGGCTCTGCATCTCGCATGAAAACCATTCAACAGGTCTAATCTGGCAAAGTCCAGCTTTATGCAAGATTTTGAAACAACATTAACCTTTAAGCTGATGACAGTAGCTGTTCGTTCTCACCTGTCACAGTTCACTCAACTGAATGATTCTCAAGTCAGACAGCTATTGCAGATTGCTTTAGGAAGTATTGTTTTTAAATTGCCATTTTGTTCATGCTTATCACTTTGTCTTTTAAGATTTTTATCCTGCAGTTCCACTTATTTAATGGAGTCTTTTAACATGGAGAGGCTGTGTACCACAGTTACCACATGGCTCTGTTTGACCAGGAAACTCTTCTCTTACTGTTTGCTATAGACAGATCAGTAGGATTTACAAATTGATAACCGACCTGTTTGCCTGAATTATGACATACCTGTAGTCAACAAGTCCTGAGGTGAAATTTGAAGATTCTGGCCCAGAGGTAAGGACTCTACCTTTACATGATTAGACATCCCAATTAGACATGCAACACAATTTTGGATACAAAGACAGTTAATTGGCCCAGTGTTGAGAGAGCCATATAATTAAAGGGAGAAGCTGGAAAGAGGAAGCAGGCAATGCAGTCTCCAGGCCCAGTTTAAACATTGAGCACTCATTGTGGCCGCTGTTTCATGCACAGATGGCAAAGAGAGTGTCCCTTATACCAGGACAGCCCTACATTTTTCAAGTACCTCTCTTGAATTTCTTTTGGAGGAGGTGGGAAAAAATTGCTGTTTTACTGTGTAAGTTGTTGCTCAATTGGTAACACTCTTCCTTTTGAATCACAAAGTTCAGAGTTTACATCCCACTCCAAGGCCCAAGCACAAAATTCTAGATTAATACTCCGTTGCAGAACTGAGGGGTTACTCCTTTTTGGATGAGAGACCAAGGCCCCATTTGTCTGCTCAGATGGAGCAAAAGACCTCATAGCACTATTTTGAAGAACAAGGGAGTTCTCCCCAGTGTCCTAGCCAATATTTATCTCTTAAACAGCTTCACCAAAATAGATTACCTGGTCATTATTACATTGTGTTAGTTTAGCATGTAAAATTAGTTGGTGCATTTTCTATGTTACAACAGTGACTACACTTCAAGAGTACTTAATTGTCTGTAAACCACTTTGAGAAAACTAGTGAGCATTAAAACCATATACCTATATTTCCGAAGAGTGGCAGGAGAAGACCAGACAGTTGGTAAGGCAGGCCGGAGATGGCTGACAATGTGGGCAGCTGCAGTGTTGCGAGGAAGATATGGGAACAGTGCTGTAAGCATTTCACCCATGTAGCGTTTCACCTCAGACAAGATGATTGGAAATTAACATCTAGATGTGAGGTCTTTGGGTCTGTTGTCACCAGCATACAAATAATCTGAGGGGTCCTGTAAGGCGTTGGTAATGTCGCTACCTCTGAGCCCAATCTTACCTGCTCCAGAGGTGTGTAGTAACACCTCTCAACATGTTGATACAGAAATGATCTACAACTACAGCTAAGCAACTTCTGGGTGCATAGTGTTCCTGCAAGTAAAAACTGTGTGCCCATAGTGCATAACAAGGCTGTGAACCAAGACACAATTAAGGCAAAATCAATGATGAAGCCTATTATTGGAAATAGTAGAAGTATTCAGAGTGTTATGATCAAGTGTTACAAAAAATGGACTAATTAATATTCAGTTTTCACTATGTAACTTTAATATATGAGACTTTGACAGACAATTATTGATTTAAATGGCTGCTGTGATCACCTGATAAGCCCAGGCAACCCACATGGAATATGTGAAACTGGCTACCACTTTAATTAAAGAGGCATCTAAACTTAATGAGGTGACAAGAAATCGACAATCTTGTTTTGCTAACACTGCATGATAATGCCTCGCATTGAGAGATGAAAGGTTGCATACAACTGTGAAACTTGAAATAAAATAATGATATAGGCACAAGATTCACAAAGGATCAATATAACGATGATGCGGAGGTGCCGGTTTTGGACTGGGGTGAACAAGGTCAGAAATCACATGACACCAGGTTATATTCCAACAGGTTTATTTGAAAACACGAGCTTTCGGAGCCTCACTCCTCCTCCAGGTATTAGTGAGAGAGGTCGCATCAGACACAGAATTTATGAGTAAAACATCAAAGGGTCACACAACTGATGAAGATGTATTAAACAGACTTAAGATGCTATTAAATCTGTAATCAGTTAGAAAGTTTTAATTGATTAATATGGATATGCAAATCCCCAAATTTCTTTCAAGTCACTGCCCTGAGGGAACTAAATGTTTTCAGTGTAAAGAAGAGATAACATTTTAGGTCAGACAACGCATGTTAGGTGTGTTTTGTTCAAAAAGCACACAATTTATAGACAGTCAGTCCATGCAGCATTTTATAAATTTCTCCTTTAGAAGTAAAACCAGTCTGACTCCAAACCAAAATACAAACAGAGAGCCTCACACCTAAGATAACAGTGTTGAGCTGGAGGAATACAGCAGGTCAGGCAGCATCAGAGGAGCAGGAAAGCTGACGTTTCTGATTTCTGAAGAAGGGTCCTGACCTAAAACATCAGCTTTCCTGCTCCTCTGATGCTGTCTGGCCTGCTGTGTTCCTCCAGCTCCACACTGTGTTATCTCTGACTCCAGCATCGGAAGTTCTTACTATCTCTGAGCCTCACACCTAACATCTATTGTCTGACCTAAAATGTCACCTCTTTACACTGATAAAACCTTTAGTTCTCTCAGGGCAGTGACTTGAAAAAAATTCAGGGATTTAAATATACATATTAATGAATTAAAACTTTCTAACTGATTAAAGATTTAACAGCATCTTAGGTTTGTTTAATATATCCTTATCAGTTGTGTGACCCATTGATCTTTTACTTATAAATTCTGTGTCTGTTGCCCCCTCTCTCACCAACACCTGAAGGAGCGAGGCTTTAAAAGCTTGTGTTTTCAAACAAACCTGTTGGACTTTAACCTGGTGTCATGTGATTTCTGACAATAAAACAACAGCAGCCTTTGGTCAAAAGGAGGGAAAAAAGCTGCATAGAATGCTAACAGCAAGAATACTGAAAATTCTCTCTCTATTGTAGAAACCAGCACCGGTTAAAAAGGCAAGTTCGGATAAATCATCATTCCCAGAGAACTTAAGATAATGCAAACTTTGCCGCTGCTAAAGAACAAGACAACAGTTAAACAGTTGGAGATAGTAGGAACTGCAGATGCTGGAGAATCTG